AAAAGAGGGTGTGACTCTTGAGCTCAGGATTGTAAGTTCAAGCCCCAGTTGGGTGTGGAGATTACTTACATAAATAAAACTTTTAAAAAATGAACAAAAGATCCTAATAGACAAATCTCCAAAGAAGATATGCAAGTGGCCAAAAAGAGCATGAAAAGATGTGCAACATCACTAGTTATTACAAAATGCAAATCAAAACCACAATGAGATACCATTTAATGCCCACTAGCATGGCTATAATCAACAAGACAATAACAAATGTTGGCAAAGATGTGGACAAATTAGAACCTTCATATGCTGCCAGTGGGAATGTAAAATGATGCAGTCACTTTGGAAAGCAGTCTGGCAATTCCTAAAAGAATAAACTTAGAGTTACCATATGACTCAGAAAGTTCACCCTTGCTATATACCCAGGAGAATTAAAAACATTAAGTCCACACAAAAACTACACAAATGTTCACAGTAGCATTATTCACAGTGGTCAAGAAGTGAAAACAACCCAAATGTCCATCAATGGGTGAATGGATAAAGAAAAGGTGATATATCCATAAAATGGAACATTATTCAGCAACAGAAAAGGAATAAAGTATATACTACAACACCAATGAACCTTGAAAACATTATGCCAAGTGAAAGAAGAAGCCAATTACAAAGAACATACAATAGTATGGCTCCATACATATGAAATGTCCAGAACAAATTCACTGACACAGAACATAGATTAGTGGTTGCCTAGGTCTCAGGGTATTGAGGGAAAATGGGAACTACTAATGGGTACATGATTTCTTTGGGGGGTGATAAAAAAAAAGTTCTAGAATTAACAGTGATGATGGCTGCTTAACTTTGTGAATAAATTTAAAATCACTAAATTATATACTATAATTGCGTGAATTGTGTAGTACAGAAATTTTACGTCAATAAATCTACTATTGTAAGTTTTCACAGAATTCAATTTCCAGGAAGAATTAAAAAGTGGAAAGCTATACATTGAAGACCTAGTAAGGAGAAGCATAGTGTTACCAAAAGTGTTTCATGCAGATGGAGGTCAGATGGATTTTCTGCACCTAATATCCTACATTAGAAAAGAATAGGTGGGAATGCGTACATCACATGGAAATCAAAGACAACGTGAGAGAATTTGAGTCAATACGTTATGAGTTCACGTACTATCACTGGCTGATAACAACTGACTTCACCATTTCAAACTTCTTAGGTCAATCCAAGACATCTTACTCTTGATTTCGTCTACTAGGTTTCCAGGCATACCAAATACCAAAACAGCAGGTAGAATAAGGCTGCTGATATCACATTATTATTGGCTATACCTATAGTTAAGTAAAAAATCATCCTGTATAATCATGACTCCTAAGCACACACTAGTATTAGCACTGTTTCTAACAAACTTTTAACGAAGGAACTACAAGAATTAGCCAGCTGTTATCTGGTTCATTTCCACCAGTATCAAAAACAAAAGTATATTTCTGTCAAACAAGTTCCATAAACATTGTTGGTGCCCCATATGGTTTTGTTGAAAGACTTGTCAAGTACAAAGACTTGGTTTTGTTGAAAGACTGTTCATGAACAATCATGAGCAAAAATGGTGTCTATCCAGGTCATCTGTCAAACCAGTAAGACAGTTCCCTACATTTCCTTTGAAATCAATACTTCAATAAGCACCTCAAGGTATCAGGCCATCGACAAGATGGACCTCCACTTAGGGTCATCAATTTCATACTACAGACCATTGGTAAGGAAGGAGATAGCTTGTTGGCTATTTTCCACAATGCTCATTCTCTTTAAGTAAGAGCAAATTCATTTATAAAAATCTCCTGCCTCCAATCATGACAAGCAGATGCCTCCAATTTGTACAGGGGGCGGCTAGAGGTAATAGGCTAGTTAACAGCCACTGACCTTTGTCAGGTGAAAGCACCAGAGAGTAGCTGAGCTTTCCACGCACTTGGACTGTGAATCCCAAGAGTGGGAAAAAGGGAAAGAAAGATCAACTATGAGGAGTTAGATCCAAAACACTTATTGGAAATGGTGATTTCATATCCTTCTGAGTCTTTGATTTCATCCTGTTCAATACTAAAAGTGTTGTGTGCCTATATTTACTAAAGGGGAATCTAAATTACTTCACTCTTTCAAGAACTACAGCGTATCTGAAGATATCCCAAGATGTTGCATAAAGAAGGCTGAGAAACACTAGTTTACACAAGCCCTCAAAAGGCATTATTTGAAAGAATATCATATACAATTCTTGAGTTCATTTTCAAAAAGCAATTAATGTTCCCTAGGGCTGGAATATTACAGTTATCCCAAATTGGGTTTTTTCCTCATACAGGGCAAATAAAGTTTCCAAAAAAGAGTGCAAGACATCAGCAGTACAAAGGAATTATTTTCCCCTAACAGCGGGCCTCTGAAAATTCTAATGAAAAAAAAATCTATTGAGGCAATCTAGGAAGTAAGTCTGAATTTGATTAAAGGGAAAAAAATAAAAGTAAAACTCATTTGTCTGTTTGAGGACAAGAGAACAGATTAAATAAGCATCTCATGCTATTCCAGATGCTGTTCCATCCTCCACTTACTTTTCAGTCTTACAGATTCTTCCATGATAAATTCTTTTATTTTATTCCTAATCTATGATTTTGCTCTATTTTTTTTTTGAGAGGGAGTACTTTATGAAACTATGCTTCCCAAGTTTACTTGCCCTGCAACTAAATGTACATGGCTTTGCAACTTAAACTCTGGCGTTACTTAGGAGGTTTCAACTACATAGATATGTTTATACAGGTCACATCCTCAGAAAACAATTAAGAATAGTAGTAAATAAGAAGTACACAGGCAATGTTATGATTCAGCTAAACTTTTAAGGGAACCTGAAATGCTTTCACTTTTGAACAAGTTCTCTAACTTGTGACTTGAATAAATTTAACCATATTTATAGTTTTTCTGAAAATAAAAAGGAACAAATGGAATTTTCTCTCTCCTTGGAAGGCCAAGTAACATGGAAGGGAAAAAATATGTCCTCCTTGGCCAAGTGAGGCATAACTAAAGATCAAGGGGGAAATTCGTCTCCTCTTGGGAAAAACCCACAAATATTGTTCTTGCATGTCAATTAAAGTGCTGTAGGGGCAGGGCGCACCTGGGGGACTCAGCAGGTTAAGCAACCAATTCTTGATTTCTGCCCAGGTCATGATCTCCGGGGTTGTCTGGCTGTATGCTGGACACAAAGCTGGCTTAAGAGTCTCTTTCCCTCTCCCTCTGACCCTCCCTCTCTCTCTCAAAAAAACAAAACCAAAACCAAAAAAACAAAAACAAAACAAAAGATGCTGTGGGAGAAAAGAGTTGATATAAGGGCAGATTTACCTAGGATTTCTGAATCCAATGTAATTTACAAAAATAGAAGGTAACTGGAAGCAGAACTAACATTTATTAAGTGTGCACTCTTGTGCCCTTCACATACATGCTGTTTTCTATTTCAATAGTACTCAAAATTTTGGAGTCAAACTATGGGAAAATTTCTCCCAACACCATCTTTCTTCATGGTTAAAGTTACCAATGGGGAAAACAAAGCAAAATAAAAATACAGATATAGATATAAATGTTTTAGATATATAGATATGTTTAGATAGATATAGATATATCCCTGCAGAAATAAAAATGCAGCCACTTCTACTGCCTCCCCAATAATCTACACTTTAAGCAAATGTGACAACACTAAAATTTAATTCCCAATAATCTACAATTCATTGTGCATGGTACCTATTAGGTGTTCAGTATTTGTTGTTTGTTAATACTGAAAATAACTGGTAGACACAAGCCTTTTCTTTGTTAATGTGCATGTATCATTTTCATAAAAATACATCCCCCCCTCACACACACACACACACACACACACACACAGCCACATTGATGTCTAATTCTGAAAATGCCCTTATGAGAAAATGTGGAAGATAAATATTATGATAGAGTAGGACAGGATGATGACAATTAGAGAAATAATGAAGGGAAATTCCAAGCACTTAAAATCCTTCCAGTCTTTTTGATGGCACGTATCTTGGTTGCCATGGAAACTCACAGGTGTCTGCAAAAAAGTAATCTATTCCTACTTTGAAACTTTAAGGCTGCTCTTGGCCATAATATCACACATAATCACATCTTTTTACATCTTTTAAATGCCACATCAGAAAATTTACATTTGAAGGGAAGCCACATATGTACAAGTAATATGCAACATGTTCAACTAACCTCAACAGAAATGAATATTGTCATCATTTATCATTTAAAGAGTAACTACCAGAAGTACAGGTAATTCTCATGCTAGCGGACAAACGTTTTTTACTAACCACTCATTTTAGTTGAACAAGTATACCTAAATCTGTCAGTGGTGTTTTGAGGTTTTTATCCTGTCTTTATTTTGCACTTCAAACAAAACACAGGTAGAGAAATAGACTGGGATTTGTTGTTTGGGGTTTCTAAAAATATCAGAAGGCAACAGAGATGAACTCCATTTATCAGCAAGCAGGTCGGTGATCTGAAGCCAGCCATAAAACACGCACAAAATAAGACTTTCACAATAATTTTGTATATAGGAATAGATGGTAGTGCAAAACACATCAGTCGTCAGTAACAAAACAGAATCTTTGTTGCTATTTGTAAACAAGAGCTCGGGCCACCGCGCCCACCTGGTATGATGGGCACAGGGTTGTGTTCTGCAAGAGTCGCCCTGGGAGGCGGACCTCCGCCTGCACCAAGCTCGGTCCTCAGGCCGGCCGGGATAAAGCCCTACCAGAACTCTTCTGCTTCCAGCTTGGGGGCTGGAGTCGACGGTCCCTGCCTAACTTCCCTGCAGTTACCCGGGCATTCTTAAACCCCACTATCTCCACTTTGCCAGGCACTCCGAAACCCACGGCGGCTCCGGCGACCCCCGATCCCGTGCCCTCTCCGAGCCTGTGCGCTCAGGGAAGCCCACCCGGGAGGCGCCCCCGCGGGTGGCTTACCGAGCAGAGAGCCTATGAAGATGACGACCTGCACGGTGGTGGTGAACTGGCGGTACAGCTGCACCTCGCCCAACTCCCCGAGCGCGCTGCGGTTGGCGCCCCCAGCCTCGGCGCCGGACGCGTTGCGCGGCTCGCTGGCGTTCCTGGAGATCCAGCTGCCGTTGTGCCCCATAGCGAGGCTGGGGTTCCGGCTCTGATCGTCGCCCGCCCGTCCGCCCACCACGGAGCCCCGCCCGGGTCTCTCTCGCCCCGGGTGCGGAGCAAAGCGCGGGCGCCTGGTGGAGTCCTGGAGAACCCGGGGCAGCCGCGGGTCCCCTCACGTCTCCACATCGCCAGCCCCGCCGCCTGGGAGGCAGGGAGGGGGGAGATCGAGGCCGCGCCCCAAGCCGGTTCCCTCCTGGGTCCCAGTCAGCAACCACATGGAGGCGGCGTGGTCTGAGACCACTGAGCTGCGTCCGTCCCTCCTCCCGGGTAGTCAGCGCCGCCAAGCTCACTCAGCAGAGATGGAAACACGGGAGGCATTTGAGAGTCAAGGAGGGCGCTCCCCGCTCCCGCCGCCCCCTTCAACTTCTCCTTCCACGCCCCGAGGGCCGGGCCATCCCTCTCGAGTCCCAGCCGGCTGACCCGCTCGGCCTCTCTCAGAAGGAAGAGAACATTTGGCTGAAGCCGTTTTTGAATCCTGCTGGCTTCGAGGGGCTGGGTGGCGATGGGAAAGCTGCGAAATATCGCAGCCAAATGACCGGAGCTCCGAGGGGACCCCCGAGTCCCCGACGGCACCCACGGTCTGGGCGGAATGCCCTGAATTTACGCGCAACAGCCTCGCCCTCCGCGGCCGGCCGTCCCCCAGGACGCCCGCGAAGTCTCCTCTGGCCCAGCCCCTTGTCCGGGGATCCGACCTCCCGCCTCGGTGCCAGCGGCAGGGACCCCCTCTTACAGCCCCTTTGCCTCTGCACGACCCAGAGCCCCCCTTCGTGGCCCTGCTCCCGCCTTTGCTACCGGGAGAGACGCTCGCGGATGCTCGGGAACAAGGGAGAACGCGCCTAGAAAGTCAAGGAACCGTCTGCGCGACAGCCCGACTGCCAGCGCAAGCCGGGGGCAGAGGAGGGCGCGCGGCCCGCGGGGGTGGGGCGGTCACGTGACGCGCGACTCCGCCCCCCACGCCGGAGGGGCTGCAGGGATGGCGCCATTTTGGCCATTCCGAGAGTGATTGCCACGGCTGGAGCGTGGGCGGCGCGGAGGATCGTCCTTTGGCTGCGGTGGACGCGTTCAAGGCGCTAACCGGGCTTCGCTTTATTTACTCCTGTGGTTACGGCTCCCTGTAGCGTCAGCAGGGGGGCTGCGTGAGAGGCCCATGATTACACACTACGCTGCCACCTGGGCAAGAAGCCCAGCCTCCCGCCCTTCAGTGAGTCTGGGCTGCAGCTGAAGGTGAAAGATGGAATTTAGGAGCCGGTGCACGGTTTCCTGGGCCTCTTTACTGCGTCTCATCTCTAAAAGGTTTGCAGTACAGCTCAAGTCTGGTGGGTTCCGGGGGATGAACTCGGGCAGGGAGCAACTTCCTGCGAGCTAATGCAAAAAGTTGGGAAGCTGCAATAACCACGTGGAGAAGAAACGGTACAGAGAAACTGAGTAGTAAAAGGAACGTGTACCGCATCCAGAGAAAGGATCTGGAGAAAAGGAGAAATGAGACCGGGGAAGGCAGCTAACGATTTGCTTGTTTTGAGCTTATGGAAAGTGGTTTCTTTTTTAATTAATGAAGGACTTGGTAGAGGGCTTTAACATACTGACCGATAGCATTAGGTCCCAGAATACTAACTCTTCAAAATTGAATAAAATTACAGAATTTGGGGGCGGGGGGGTCCCTGGCTGGCCGGCCGGCTCCATAGAACATGCAACTCTTGATCTGCGGGTTGTGTGTTCCAGCGCTATGTTGGGCGTAGAGAGATTACTTTAAAATTTTTACTGACGGGTGCCTGGGTGGCTCAGTGGGTTAAGGGCCGACTTCGGCTCAGGTCGTGATCTCCCGGTCGGTGAGTTCGAGCCCCACGTCGGGCTCTGTGCTGACAGCTCAGAGCCTGGAGCCTGCTTCTGTTTCTGTGTCTCCCTCTCTCTCTCTCTGCCCCTCCCCTGTTCGCGCTCTGTCTCTCTCTGCCTTTCAAAAATAAATAAATGTTAAAAAAAAAATTTTTTTTTTAATAAAAATTTTACCGAATTCACGGGGCACCTGGGTGGCTCAGTCGTTAAGCGTCTGACTTTGGCTCAGGTCATGATCTCACAGTTTGTGAGTTCGAGCCCCATGTTGGGCTCTGTGCTGAGAGCTCAGAGTCTGGAGCCTGCTTGGGATTCCGTGACTCCCTACCTCTGCTCCTCCCCTGCTCACACTCTGTCTCTCAAAATAAAGATAAAAAAAAATTTACTGAATTTCTTGTCTCAAGGCTGATGCTGGCTCAAGACTACCCGACTTTTACTCTACGAGCAATGAAGCCTTAAAAAGCAAATGCGTTGGGGCGCCTGGGTGGCTCAGTCGGTTAAGCGTCCGACTTCAGCTGAGGTCATGATCTCGCGGTCCGTGAGTTCAAGCCCCACATCGGGCTCTGTGCTGACAGCTCAGAGCCTGGAGCCTGTTTCGGATTCTGTGTCTCCCTCTCTCTCTGACCCTCCCCTGTTCATGCTCTGTCTCTGTCTCAAAAATAAGTAAATGTTAAAAAAAATTAAAAAAAAAAAAGCAAATGCGTTGTATCTTTGGGTTCCCACAATACCTACACATAACAATCCTCTATGTAAGCAGTTATTTTAAACATTTCAGAGGCTATAAAAAAAGAAGAGGCAAACTGACTGACTAGTTGAATTTTTTAAGGCATTTCCAGTAGTTAAGATTAGTTCTCAGAGACCAAAGTTTTAAGATGAAACCCCTTGCCCTGGAATCATTACGGAAGTAACAAAATGTAGTAGTTGTTTGGCAACATCCAGCACATTCAGTCAAGAAGGGTTGCAGAAGAATGTGTGTAAATGAGTTTAGTAGCAGTTATAAAAATACCTCTTTACCTGCCACTCTGATGGAAGTGTTGGGATGACGGAGGGTTTCGTGTGGTCCAGAGCCAACAACCAAGAAAGAATTCTTGAAGATGGTGATTGTATTAAAGCACAGGGGCAGGGCCTGTAGGCAGAAAGAGCTGCATTACAAGGGGGGAGGGGGCAGCAGTGACCTTTGTATGGAGTCTGGGGAAATAAAGTCCAGAGGGAGTTTCCAAAGAGTCTTTCACATGCTGAAGGACTTACTGGAGTCCTAGCTATTGTCAAGTTAAGGTTTTTCCCTCTAGCAAAGCATTAACATTAAGACGGTAGGGAGGGGCACCTGGGCTTCACCTCAGGTCATGATCTCACGGGTTGGTGGGTTCGAGCCCCCTAGTCGGGCTCTGTGCTGACAGCTCAGAGCCTGGAGCCTGCTTTGGAGTCTGTGTCTCCCTCTCTCTCTGCCCCTCCTCTGCTCACACTCTGTCTCTCTCTCTTAAAAATAAATAAACATTTAAAAAAAAAAGTTGGGAGTTTCTGGATTTTAGGACATT